GGGAATGGTTAATCTTACAGCCCAGAAACAGAAGACCCTAGGACCATCAAGCAGAATGCAGGAGCTTATCCAGAGAAGCAGCAATGCCTGAGGCAGAGGCAGAGATGGGGACATGGAGAGGAAGAGTGGCTACGGACTCTAGATTCATGGGAAGAGAGGGACTGAGAGCTGGTGGCCAGGAGGCAAACTTGCAGAATGTGCCCTTTGGAGATGTAAATTATTATATATGCCTGAGTGGTTTTTTTGTTTGTTTGTTTGTTTGTTTGTTTGTTTGTTTGTTTGGTATTTTTTAAAGCTAAAGTGGATAGAGAGAAATACTGTTAACTGATGGTACATGGAGGGGATTATAATCATTGTAATGAAACAAAGTGTATGATTTGTTGAACATAGAACTGATTATCTGCCATGTAAACTTTCATTCAATCCACAATAAAAACCTTAAAAAACAAAAATCATAGAAACCTATGCTAAACAAAACATGCCCAAATGTGAAGCTATTGTTTACTATCAACACTCATAGAAGCAACAGTCAAAAAATCAAATGACATATTGCATTAGGCAAATCTGCTGCACAATACCTCTTTAAAAGAGAGCTAAAATGTCAGCTTGAGAACTACAGTATGCCTAGTCCAAGCCATGGTATTTTCAATAGCCTCATATGCATGTGAAAGTTGGACAATGAATCAGACAGACCATAGAAGAATTGATGCATCTGAGTTATGGTGTTGGAGAAGAATATTAAAAGTACAAGAACAAACAAATCTGTGTTGGAAGAAGTACAACCAGAATGCTTCTTAGAAGCCTTCATCTCTCATACTTTGGCTCACTTTATTATCAGGAGGAACCAGTTCCTGGAGAAGGACATCATGCTTAGTAAAGTGAAGGGTCAGCGTAAAAGAGGAAGACCCTCAATGAGATGTATTGGCACAGTGGCAGAAGCAATGGACTCAAACGCAGCAAAGAGTGTGAGGATGGTAAATCCTCTGCATAAGATTGATATGGGGCAGAAGTGACCTAACAACCACAACAACAACAACATTGTTTCTCAACATATCCTCCAACCAGGTTTATACACTTCTTAAGGCACTGCTCAGGGCATGGAGGGATTAAAATCATGTTCTTTTTCAATGTTCTTTGAGTTTGGGGATCAAAAAGAATTCTAAAGAGGCAAAAGGCCAGGGCTTTAGGTTGGATGGGATAAGGTTTCCTAATGAAATTTTCATAGGACAGTCCTTGTTACCCTGGAAGAATGAGCAGGTGTATTGTCATGATGGGGGAAAAAAAAATCTAGCTTCTAGAATTATTTGCTCAGTATACAGATTAAAAACGTAAGGAAAAAAAAAAAAAAAAAAAAAATCCCTGGCACAATTTTCCTGGTCGTTTTCTCATCATTTCAGTTTTCTATTTCCTTAAAAATTCTTAATACATCCTCTCAGGCCAAACTCCCCTCCAAGACTTAGACTCAATGGGAATACACGCTCTGATTGGTGACCATATTCATCACCGATAAGGGGAAGTGAGGGTCAAACAGCAATGAAGATTTGAACTAAGCCCTATGATGTTCAATAGACTCCTATGAACCAAGTGGAGACCTGGTTGGCCAGCAGTATGGTAAGACCTGGGGACTCTTGGGCCCAGAGTCAGTGACATAGCCACAGAAAACTAGAATGGAGAGTGAAG